TATATATATATATATATATATATATATATATATATATATATATACTACTAAAACTCTTGAGATTGTTTGTTTGCTTGTCTGTAATTAAATAAAGGAAAAAACGGCGCATAATAGCGCCATATCTATAATGAAATGACAATAGAAACAGAATAAAACAAGTTTCATTAAAATCGCGCCACGGGTTACCGAGTTAGCCCCGTTTTTCGGGTCACTTTTAAGAAAATTTCTAGTTTAATTTAGGTACACTAGATGGCGCTACATATCGGTTTATCTATCTATTTATTCGTTTCCACCTTATGAATCACTTTAAAATATCTTCTATATAACAATATATGCACAACAGAAATTAAATGATGAGATGAAAATTGTTATAACGGCGGGTAGAAAGAACAACAATAAAATGGACCTACAATATTATTGACTATTTGCAACTAGTAACTATGGAGACGAGGTAATAAAATAAAAAATCAAGTCGAGAACAACAACAAAATTTTATAATGGAAACCTCTCGCCGAGCATTGGCTATTATATTATTTCCCTGTCAATGTTCCCATCTTCATTAAAAGGCGTAAGATGACAACAATCAAGTATCTTTTCTTGAACTGTGAATAGATTGAAATATTTAATTAAATTATCTCAAAATAAACCTTCATTTTGGTGCAATATTGAAATTAGCTTGAATTCTTCATAACCTCTGAATAGTGGTTGACCCGACAGGTCATGGTGATCTAGTATTTATATATTTTTTCTTTAGTCAGATTTTTATGTATTTTCTTAATCAGTACCCTGTCATTTCTTTCATTTACTGTATTATTTTGGTTTTATTTTCTTGACATTTGTCATTAATGGACAGTCTTGTTTATGGCTTGAAAAAAATCCTTTGCTGAAAATGCTCCCAAGGAAATAAAAGAGAATATTTAAGATGAATAATGTGCAAGTCTAATTTCTTTATTTATACATATATATGTAAAAATATGTGTGCATTCTTGATAAAGGACAAATTTCTAATAACATCAGAAACTGACAAATCAAAAGACATAATGTCCAATGAATGTAAGACTTATTTGTGTAATTATCAAACATATACTAGTTTCATAATTTGATTTTTCATCAGTAATTTTGGACAATATGGCTTGGTCTTTTATGTTTTGTTATATTGAGGTGTATGGTGTTTATATTCTTGTTTATGCATCACAAGTAACTTACCTGAATACATAACTAATGTTTAATGGTATGTTATGCCTGAACTTAATGACATATCCTATCTATTGCTCATTCATGATGTTAGAAACACATGTCTGTTCAAGAAGTCTTGATAGAAATGAATAAAAACCCTATAATCTGAGCACTTTTGAAAGATGGACCTTTCTTCTTCAGGGGCAATTTCTATCAATTGCTCAATAGTTCTGTGACATTCATTACTTAATAACTGAAGAAGTGAAAGCTGAAAGTTTGACATTTAGTATGTAATTCTCTCCTAGCTACAGGCATGAAGAAGGCCTCAATGTGAAGCTCAAACATCAACCCAGCATAACAAAATGGCAGATATTTAAAATATTTCAACCAACAAATTTAATATTTCTCAAAGTATAAGGTATTTGATCTCTTTACTATTTAGTTAATTTACATTAAACAAAGCACTATTTAATTTCTCATATTTTTATCACAGGTTATAATCCATGTTGCAGCCTTTGCACAAGAAGAAAATAAACATTCATAATAAAGGCAATTCACAACTGGTGTTATAGCAACAGTTTTCCACACGTCATTCCGAATGGCTACAGTCAATTCAAAATACTATTGGCCTATAGCTACAGTGTTACAAGGTATATATAGTAGTCCATAGGAAAACTGGCCATTGAAATGGGCGTATCACTTATAAATGTGGCCAAATTTTGGAAATTAAGGTCCATCTATACAAGTATCAAGTTCACTAAAACTCTTGGTGATGTGACCCACATAGATGAACTGAAGTTTGTGAAAAATTTATAATTATGATAATCTGATGGGAAGCATTTACTTCTTTTTTGAATGGAAATGTAAAGTGACAGTTGTCACTATTGGAGTTAGAAGAACAGGCCTAGCAATTCATGAGTATTTAGCATATTTTGAGTTATGCTCTTATTTTTAATAGTTTCCTTTTTTTTTATTGTTGTTTGTGCAATACTTGAATGCTTTGAAGTATTTTGAACTTGTGTAGATCTTGGGAGTAAAGAATTGACATGTTTATGTCCTATGCAAGTAATGACTTACTCCATCCCTGTCTGTCTGTCTGTATAGATAGTTTTATTTGTATTCTAAGTTATAAGTTTTGAAATAATTTTATTTTTAAATCGGTTTTTACACTTAAGGTTAATTTGCATTGCTAACTTGGTGCAAAAATTTACATTTCAAAATATTATAGGTTTTAGTTTATATATGTGTAGATTTAAGACATTAAGGATTGTTTGTCAGTTTGTTACTCTTTTGTTCTGTTCTATATAGCTAGCTTATCTTTTATCAGAAGACCTATCAAGCTTACATTAAGCCTATTTTTTTGGTAATTCCAAAACATTTTTGGTATCTGTGTCAAATCACACCTCACAATATTGGCAGTGTAACATTGGGTACTATTTTGCATCAGGACAAACTCTAGCCTTATTGCAAATCATTGTATATCCAATACTATGTCATTATATTGTCAAGCACTAACCCTACTCATTGAAATTGCAGTAAGGTCTATATTATAATTTATACTGATGAAACCAACACATTAACTTGAACTACTGAATAGACAGTAACATTATACAACATGGAGGTAAACAATTATGATCATCTCAACCAAAGTTTAAATTATTTGTGTGGCTTACTGTGCTCCAATTATGGTCACCTCAACCAAAATTAAATGAGCTATGTGGCTAACTATGAATTTAGAAATTTTATTTGCTTATAATAACAGTCATACACTTGTTTCTTCACCAAGTAGTTACAGATATTCACATTACTTGAAGTCCATTTGCAGTGGACCGTCAAATATATTTTTATATCAAAAGTCTGTTCATGAACTTAATTTCTCAGTTTAAAACTTGAAATAATGTAAAGCATGTTTCAACTCAGAAAATTAATCTTATGTTGTGCTACACTATTTATATACTAGTGCTAGTAATATTGATAAAAAAAACACCTCTGTACTTCTAGATAGGTTTAGTACAATTCTTTTACTTAGTTTGGACTTTCTGTATTATGTTAAGAGTAAACATCATTTTAGTAAAAATTTAGACCATTGTTTTAAAACTGGTTTTTACTTGAAAACATTTTAGAATAATATATGCATCAGTAATGACAGAGTGTTCTCATCATGTTATAGTAAGTTAGCTTTTCAATGTGGGGATACTTCTGTAAAATGGAAAACAGAAATTATATACATTTCAAAATGTTGAAATACATAATGTATTTGTGGAAAATTACAGTAAATGAGTAATGTTTCACAGATTTATTAAATATACAGAAACTAATGAAAGTGAAATAGGAAGCAAAACTTAGCTACATTGAAGAATATATTCTATTATATATTTTGTTATTACAGAAAAAGAATTACTTGTACAATAACTATATATACTCAAAACTGGACAAGAAACACATCCATCATTTCGTTAAGAACAGACATTTCACAAATGTTACAGTACTAATAATAACATTAGAATAAATAAATGAATAAAGATATGCTATATACAAAGCTATCTACATAGCAAAAACCATTTCTAGACTTGTTTTTTTATAGCTCAACATGGGGTTCTTTTAACTTTGATTGAATTATAAGTGGGCATTGTCATGGCTGTCTCAATTAATTTTAAAAAGGTTGTTTTATTAGAACTTAGAAAAGTGGACTTCATCAGATACGTTTTTGAGAGAATTTTCTCAAACCTAAATATTCTCAGCCTTGTTTTCTATTTAATAAAGTGTTTTTAGACAGATGAGTGTTATTTTCAAAAACACTACATTAAAATAACAAAGATGTTTAGATATTTCCATATTATAGTGATCAGCCGAGGAATGTGCTTTCCGAAATCAGGAATATAGCTTACATTTGCGTGTAGAAACAGAATCTCTTAAAAGTTTTTCAAGCAGTCCGAAACTTGGCACAAGTATAACAATTTGTTAAATACAAGAACTAAGGTTTTAACCTTTAGTTTAAATAAACGCTAGCTGCAAGTAAGTTCATACAATTATAAAATTCTTTCCACTGTTGTATGTTTAACGAAAATTATACAATTTAACTAATACGAATTTGTCTGCACCTTCAAAATGCACCCCACTCTTCGCTTATTTCATCAGTCTCGAAGTAATTCTTTAATCGGCACATTTTAAGTAAAAATTCGATCATCATTCATCACTCTTCCTTGATTCTCTATCATTCACAAGTATTTTTAAATTATTTTCATTTCTCGTTCTCGCAAAAGCCACATACAATTGTCCATGTACAAACATTGGATCAGGCAAAAATACTCTAACTTGATCGAAGGTTTATACCCGAGACTTACGAACAGTCATCACAAATGTCATTAGCACTGGAAATTGTATTTTCTTGTTTTTCCTTTTCAATGTTACTTCTATTATTGTTTCTATTGCGATGTCGTTCCCTATCTAAACGTCGTCTAATTTCTGCCTGTTCTTCACTTTCGTTCTTTATTCTCTCAGCATATCTTAGTCTCACAGCTCTTCTTCTTTCTTCACGTACTTCTTCATTTTGCCTTTCACGTAATCGTCTTTGACTTTCTGCATTCCTCTGTCGTCTTTCTTGAGCTTCTTCTTGACTTTCATTTTCTACTCTATTAGCAAATCTTTGTCTATCAACTATGCGTCGTCTTTCTTTCTCTTCTCTACTTTCGTTTCGTCGTCTCTTAGCTCTTAGTTCCGCTTTTCTCTGTCGTGTTTGCGCTGCTTGTTCTGGTGTTTTTCGTGCAAGAAAGCGTTGTTTCCTTTCTCTTGCCAGTCGTCGTCTACGTTGTGTATCAGTTTCACGCTCCATTCTAAAATAATGAGTAAATGAGGTATAAATTTATTTTCTTCTTTCCATTTGTCCGTCAAAAATTTACTCAAGTGTAAAAACTACTTAGTAAAATGAAATGTTAATCGTAAATAAAAATACTTGTGCAATCTGAAAGAGACTTAAATAGCACTCTTGACCTTTTCATTGTATTCTACTGCTGAGTTCTTGGTTAAGAAGTAGAAAACATAGTGCGGATGTTGCGACACAAATTTTCAACTCTTTCGACTGTACATAGGATACAAGACTTTTGGTAGTAATAAACGTTAAATTTTCTTTATATTTTAAAGCCAAGTAGGTAATTTTTATGTTAAAATACCGAACGAATGTTTATTAATTAACATTTACTCACCACTTAAAACTTTTTAAACATCGATTCTATAACGTTAGTAGTAGTAGGCCTATTTGTAGTCTAAAGTATTAGGCCTAATCGTAATGCATAAACTTAACGTAGGGCTGAAACACTACTTAGTAAATTTTATTTTGCTTTTGGTTACAACTTAGTGTCATAAAACTTCTGAATTAAACCATTTTGCTGTTATATCACTGAAGTTATCAAAAAAAGCACTAACTATAAAAGGCTTATAATAAAAAAAAAACTTTTCCAACAAATCAACATGAACATTGAGCATTCAACATAAACGCCATAGTTGGCCTAAGAACAATCAGGTGATAGTTTTGTTGCTGAGCGACGACGTATATTGTTGAGCATTAACATAATTTTTATCATACAACGCTAAATCTTTATTCTATGTAGAATTGTTAGAAGTGGTTCATTATTACATTGAAAGTAATGTTATCTGTGATTAAAACATGTATGAAAATTATTAAGTGACGAAAATAATATAGATTTGGTATAGCCATAACAATTTCAAATACAATAGCTATGTTTTAAGCACTGTATGTAAAATGCATTTAAAAAGCTGTGGAGTTAAGTTCTAAATTACAAGATATTTTTTCCATACTATAAAGTGTGACTATACAAAAATGGCATGCATTTTTCTACTGTCTAATTTTTGTGTCAGTGCAGATGCACTATTACAATAAATAAAAAAGAAAAAAGATGAAGAAACTGGTCCATACATATCTTCAACCTCAGCTTACTTCAAAAAAAAAAAAAGAACCCCCCCCCCCCTCCAGTGGCACAGCAGTATGTCTGTGGAATTGCAACACTAGAAACCTGGTTTCAATACCCATGGTGGGCAGAGCACAGATAGCTCATTGTGTAGCTTTTTGCATAATTACAAGCAAACGAATACTTTAAAAAGTTTCTTTTTGCTTATTTTACACAATCAGAGAGTAAATGCAATTAATAAGTTTTTATCATTGAAAAGGATCTATTTTTATGCAGTACAATTAAATTATTGTACACTGCCATCTCATAAAATATGTCATTACTTATTTCATAGAAAAATTCAGGTATTTGATTTCACTAATCATAATAAATTTTTGTTAGTAGAAAATAAATAGCTCAAAGTCTTTTTTTTATCTTTGTTTTAATTCTACACACTGGCCAAGCAATTGTTTGGCTGATATCATAATCCAGTGAGCAAGAGTTTTGAAGAACTATTCGACTATGGAAATGTACCAAATATTCATAGAAAGAACAGTAACCACTCAACAGAGCAGAACTGACAACTTACTAGACATAATCAGAAGCATATGTCATCCATACTAAATAACTTGTAGCTGTCATCCCGTGTTTTCATGGATTTTAGTAAAAGATACTCAGAAGGCACTGAAATGTTCATATTTGTCCTTTAGTCTTCTATGCAGGAACAACCAGAGATATTGGTTTACAGGAAGTTCTTCATGACCAGTTTCATAGGTACGAATTTTATAAGTCCACACTTTTCTTGTTGCCTAGAAACTTGAAATTTTTTCATTGGATTAACAGTTTGGCACAGTGGCAGCTGTTCTTATATAGCAGACTAGTCTTGAACTTCAAACTTCAGCTACTTAATTATATAGATGTGTTCTCTATCTAGAAGAAAGAAAATTCAAGAAACAACAAATATTTTAATACAAATGTTAAACATTAAACTCAAATTTTGATAATTTGTTAATCATAAGAATGAAATCATACACAATTTTATTTACATTATATTTTTATACAGTTTAAAATGTATTACATAAGGTTATATGTACAGAAGTACTGGGGCTCAGACCCATTTCCTAACTTACCTAGAAGAACTCAGTGGTGGGTATTATCCAAACCAAATTGCAAGTTCTACTAGAGAAAACAATTTTTTGCATTACACAACAATGAAGTACTCTACTCATGAGTAGATCATAAATCAATTTAAAAACAAAGGCATAAAGTGTAGGTAAATATTTAATAGTGCTTTTACATTCAAAAGAGAATGAGGTCAGTGCAACAAAAGATCTTGAGAACACATTAAAATACAATCAGTATAATTTAACTTGCTTCTTCCAGCAATGTAACACTCAAAAAATGGGAAGATGAATAATTACAGAGCTGTCACTATGTTCATTTTTTTAGAATGTAGTTTCTTAGATTCCTCACAACAGTCACTAGCCATGCTCAGTTTTTTGAAATACCACTCTCTGTAGAAAAGTTACAGTAATAACCATGACAAAACTTGATTTTTTCTTCTTTTTTTCTATAAATTAGTTTTTGAAAGACATTTTTATCCAACGAGTTTCATGTCTACCTTGAATATTACAAAAACTTTGTGTACTAAAGAAAGCAATGTGTGATCAATTGTTTTTTTTCAAAAGGCTAATATTTAAAAACAAGTTAGCATAAACACAAATCACAAACAATTTTTGACTTTATTATGTACTAAATGATAGTGTGAAATGCTGTTTTAACTAACTAACATTTTTAACTATTTTAATATTTATATGTTAAGCTATAATAAAGTATTTTTAATTAAATATACAAGACTATGTACAGTCTTCAGATAAAAACTGAGTACAGCAATTTTGTTTGGAAATACACAAACATCGTATCATAATCCTCGTATGAAAGACATTTCAAAATAAATTCATAATTCAAACACTATATTTGTAACAAATTCATACTATGATTCATTGAGCTTAGAATGTTAGTAGTGTTTCCTAAACTTTTTCATATGTGACCCCATTTTGAGACAGGAAAAATTATGTGACTCTAGACAACATCCAAAGAAATTTAACAAACCAAACATTGAGGGGGTTATTTTTAAAGCTTTTAATCAAGGATAAAACTAGGTTTGATTAAAACCCTTTTCCCATAAGTTGATACTGAAACTCCACATGGCTTGGGATCACAACCCACAGCTTGGGAACTGCTGTTGCAATAGCCCTTCAACTTATATATTATTGTTACGTCTCTGTATGTTTGCTTGTTAATTCTTACAAGATACAAGTCCTT